GGGCCCCCCCCCCCCCCCCCCCTTGTGGGGTGGGGGGGGCCTGGGGTTGTGTGCTTAGCCTAGGGCCTGGGTCCTGCTTGTGTGGGCCCCAAGGAGGGGCTGGAGCTGCTGCCTGGCTTCAGCAGCAGCCCAGAGGCAGTGGCAGCTCCTTCCAGCTGCCCTGGCTACCAGTTGCAGCCCCATGAAGATCCATCAGGACCTGTGTAGGCAGGGCCTGAGCCCTGGGCTGAGTGCATGGCCCCTGGCCCTGGTCTGCTCCACTCTGCATAGGGGGTGGGGGTTCCTGCAGCGCCTGCTGTGGACCCACTCGCCCATCCCAGCCAGGCTGACTGGTGGGGGAAAACGTGGGACCCAGAGCCTGTGCTAGGGCTGCCCTGCAGCTTCTTCCCATTCCTGCCGCCTCCACCAGCACCACTCTGGGGTTGCCCAGGCCCCTATACCTGGCAGGGCAGTGGGGAGGAGCCACAGGAGAGCCGTGGTGCAGGCTCTGGGTCCCACTTTTTCTACCTCTGTGGGCAGATCTGTAGGGAGCACTGCAGGGATCCCAACCCCCCATGCAGGCTGGGGCCAGGGGCAAGGACTTTGTATTCAGCCTGGGGCTTGGGCCCTACCCATGTGAGTCCCAGTTGGTCTCTGTGGGGCTGGTGGCGGCAGCAGCCAGAAGGAGCTGCTGCTGCTGCTGGGAAATGAAGCTGTCCCAGCCCTGCTGTGTTCCCTGGGGGCAGTGGGACAGACACACCACCGGCCCAGAGGGACCCACTGTGGGCCAGACAAAGTCCCTCCTGTGGGCTGTATTTTGCCCACCCCTGCTCTGTAAGATGTCACCCAGCCCCGCCTTTTGCATCAGGAACAGTTTAACTATAATCTTCCCATGTGGGTGTTAGAATTTTACTCTGACACATTTGTAAATCTATGTACAAATTGGGTTTAATTCTAGTAATGGTTAGGAAATGTATTGCTGCAGAATCCTGGGCACATGTTCAGATTTATCATGATTTTCCTTTCTATATTAGCTATCCCTTTCAGCAAGTCAGGTCTTTCCCAAATGAGTGCCATCTGCCTGTCATTCTGTAGGATATGCACAGCTTGCTCTGGTTCTCGCTGGTGGGAGGGACCCAAAAATCATTGTACAGACTTCTAATTAACACTTTAACAGAAAGCCCTTAAAATACTGCAGATTTCACTCAGTGTACAAGTTGGCCAGCCCTTGGAAATAAAGTCCTTTGTATGCAGAAGAGATGCAACAAGTCCTTAGCGGTGTTCTTACAGTGGGAGTATCTGCATGAGATGTTATGTTGCCATAGTGACAAGCTACTGCCATGTAGCTCAATTGCTACAGCAAGTGTTGGTGGGCATGAACCATGTCACTGATGACTACTACAGTAGGATTAGAAATGACCCATGCACCGCTGCATCTGTACAGTAACAGCTGATTTGTTTTAGCAAGTACTAAATGACTGTCCAGTAATAACTGCACAGTCTGGGGCATGTGTAGATGCACCCAGCATGCTTTCTCCGCAGCCAGACTAGATTAATTAGGTTTGTTCAGTGCTTGCCATCTCTGCTGTGAAAACAAACAACTCCTGTTTTTGGTGGTGCAAACATTTATCTGTATGAACTGCACTGATCCAATCAACTTATTTGCCAATAGTGGTTTCTTTGGAGATCATTTGAACCAGTCACCCAGATGCAATGGGCTCTGTATCCAGTTGCCATTTCCATGAGAAACTCATGCAACAGGAACAGGAGAACTGTAATGAAACCCTTTCTACAAGGAACCGTTTTATGTCAAATGCCCTTAAAGTATCACTTCTGCTTGTCATTTCATGCGATTAGGTTATCATAGTTAAAACAAACTTTGACCAAGAACTTGCATCCAGACATGGAGCAATGCAGCTTCCCCAGCTGGCTCAGTGAAGGTGTGGTTGCAAAGATCATCCATCTTCCTCAATTGGTGAGAAGCCAGGGAGATGTGGAACACCTGTGCACTGTCTTGTGTCCTGCTGTAGGACATAGGTTATAATGGTTTTTTGATGGTAAAACCTGTGTTTAAAGGATGTTTCTGTGAGCATCCAGTTTCCCACTCTTGAAATGATTCACAACGAGCAAAATCCTTGACAGAGGAAAGCCACTTGCACCTGGAACTGGGGCCTGTATGTGTGCCAGAGCACAGCAGTGGCTCCTTGGCCCCATCCCCAGCACTTTCTGTCACAAACTGCTTCCTCCTTGGTCTTTCTTATTCCTGTCCCGAAGTTTGAGCAATTTGCAGCAGCTCCTCCCTCACAGAATTGAGGGGGGGGGGGTGAGTGCTGCCAGCCTGCACCTGTCTCTGCAGTGATGTTACTACCAAGCACGTGTAAGGTAGGCTGCACTCTGGGAGACTGCAGGCTGCTGTCCTAATGACTGTTGCCTGTAAGACTGCCCTACCCCCAGGTTTGGCTTCAAATCGAGTGGAAACATGGCATGCAGTGTGGTGGTGGAGTGGGGCTGTGCAAATAGAAGGATTCTGTAAATGTCTGTGTGGCTACAAAACGGCACGGAACCAGTCCCTGCATCTTCTTCCTGAGCGAGTTTGCCGTGGGGAAAAGAAGCTTCTTTGTCAGCATGCCTTTCTGGCTTCAGTCCTTTAAACCTGGCAGAGGCAAGCAGCTCCAGGGGTAAAGCACCTGCTTTGCAAGTGGTTGCATCTCCCCCTGCATTTGTGAGTGGTAAGTACCTGCTCAGCATTTCTCTGTTTCTCCTGAAAAAGTGGCATATTCTCACCCATGGAAACTCACCTGGAGCCTGCAGCCTGCTAACCCTGAAATTAGCACTTGGAAGTCTTGTGGGGCTCTGTGGGAAGGCCTGGTGTTTCAGAGGTGCTGTGCAGGCTGTCTGCTTCAGCAGAATATTCAGGACAGGCGGTGGCATAGTCAGTGTCTTTATTTAAAGGACCATTAACAAGGTGGTGTTGGAAGCTGTTACAAAGCTTTGTTCAGAATTCCGGTGACTGCTTAAACTTCTCATCTAGTAGCTTTTTCTCACGATCTGAGTGAGATTTCAGAGTCTGTTGAAGTAAAACCAAGCTTGCTCTTGTTAAGATTACACTGTAGTTAACATACACCAGTCCCAGGAGTGGGTATGCTGAGAGAGGGCTAGATCTCGGGTGTGCCATCTTGCTAGTGAAGGCTGCAAATCAGTTCTGTTCCCCTGTATTCAGCTGCAATCTGAACTTCAAGATGGTTAAAGTAAACGCGCTGACTTAAAGCAGCTTGCTGAGCCTGTCGTCTTTCCAGAAAAGAAACTTTTCCTGTTGAAGGTGTAGGTTGATTTCTCTCCCCCACCAGGACTTTTGAGGTGTTCTAGTCTGGGTGCAGGATTTTGTAAAAATAATAATTCCAATTTTGATAGGCTGTAGAGATATAATGAAGAAAACATCTCTCATTTAGTCCAGTCTTCAGTGTCTTAAGTTAGATCAGTTCTACTGCTCTGTGTGCGCTCTCTTTGTTTCAGAGCAATTGAGGACACAAGCATACTCCATCCGTAGGGATGGTCACTCGATAATGAGTATAAATATGGATGATGTTATAAACATTTGTGCTAAAAGCAGCTGTATAAGGCTTGGTTTTATAACAAAATAAAATGTGGAGAAAAAGCCAGTAGCCAAAATACACTTTAATAAATTAGCTTCCAGTCTGTTTGATAAAATACAAGCTTAATGTATTACCATTTTGTTTACATTTTTTTTTCCTACAAATATAGTTAGTTAAGAAGAAAAAAATGAATAAGCAGTATGTTTTTTGCTGTTTGGTAAAATCCGAAGTTGAAATGAACTGAAACTGTTAAAACAGAGCTGTTAAAAACTTTATAAATGCATTAATCCAGGCAGACTAACTGGTTTGGTTTTGTTTTTCTTAGAAACAGTTAACATGCAAAATATTTAGTGCAGTTTAAATATTTTAATGTTTCCTGAAAAATTAGTCTTCCCAAAAAATTTTTTTTGGCAAGTTTTGATACTAGATCCTTGGCAGAAGGGAAGGGAGGCAACACAAGGTATAAAGAATGCAAGAACTTCAGTCCTTCATTGCAGCAAGACCCACATTCATCAGTATATTATCTTTACTGGGTTGAAACCAGTTTTAGTACTTCTTACAGCTTTAGTGGAAGCAGCTCCACCAAATCCTCACATAACACAGAGAGAACACACCCTTGCAGACAAATTTCAAATGCTGTCCACAAGCTACCAATTCAGGAGTTGCTCTTGAAGGGTTTCTTAGCAATGGAAGTGTATTTGTACAGTTCAAAGGTTCATTAAACCAGTCTGAGTTGAAAAGGTTGAGAGAAAATTATTCTTTTTATCAGTCAGTTTATTACAGATGGAGGACTATCTAATAACTGTTCAAGTTAGAGGACAGCAGTTCCTTTCATTCTATGGGCAGATTTCAAACACAGTGTTTTTTCTTTTTGACTTAAACATTTTTCTGCATTGTATAAATGAGCATTAAGCTAATTTATACTACATAAATCCTTTGTGATAGGTTTAGATTTTTTTATCTAATCTGGATGGAAACTCATTGCTAAGAAATGGTTCTGTAAAATACACATGGATAAGTAAAAATAAATCCACGCTATCTAAAAAAACCAAACTGCTGGAATAATGGAATTTGAAGTGTTCCATCTTTAAAATGAAGTTACAAAGATGTAGAATGTAATCCATAAAACAAAGTTTCTACATAACATTTGCTTCTGGTTATTTTAGCATGAGCATTACCAATATACAGGCAATAATTCAGGAGTTTCAAGGCAATATATTTTCTACCTTGCATATACAAAGAGTTAACATTTAATAAAAGTCTGCACACATCCTTTTTATTAAAGGTTCATAAATATTCAATGAACAAAATCTATTTACACTATTTACATATACTTTACATGCAACTAGAATATGTGATTTGTACTAGAGTCTGGCCCATATATTTACAGCACCCAGGCTGTGTTATCAACTCAGAACCACATCTGGATGCCTCCTCTTCCAGACACTCTCTCTTGAAGTCATGTTATTCTTTAGGAATTCAACACTCTACATCTGGTGGTTTTTAAATTTCTGAACTACTCAATCCTAAATCCTCAGTGACATATTTCAAGGATACTATAATTTAAAAAAGAAACCCCTTTTAAATGCATCCCTAAAATCAAGGCCAACCACTGATGTTGTTGTTGGGGGTTTTTTTGTTTTGGTATATTAATTTACTGTACATATGTGAGACCTGGAGAGTGGGGGGTGGAGTTCAACAAGCAATCATACTCTTTCATTGACCTACTTTCGAGGTGACCATTAAATAAGACCTTTTTTTGGTTTTAATAGTGATTCTCACTTGTGATTTCCCCCTTGCCCCCTCCATTGCAATTAAGCACAGGGACATTACCTGCAATACCATCTTTGCTGCCCAAAGTCAATCTCCTAATGTGATGCCAGCTGGCTTAGTAATAAGCTTGTTTCCATGAAAACTAGGTCATTCCTTGCAGTATGTTTTGCCAACTGCAAATCAAGTGCTTTGCAATTTGTGTGTTCACAGGAATTGTGTATATACCATTAATTGCTGTAGATGCTTTTGATAATATTGGCTCTTTGATCTTAGCTCTCTTCATAAAAGTTGCATAGCAGTACGTTTTAACTAACAGCCTGTGTCTGAGCTGACTGAATGCAAAATGGGTCCAAGTTCACACATTGAGAATACGAGATGGTGCTTGGAAAACTGCAGAAGGATTGGGGGAAAACTTGGTCTTTGCTTCAGGAATCTAGAAGAGGAAAACATTTGTTAGTTTCACTTTTTTATCTTGCAGTTAGGGGTGCACCAGTATGTTGGCTGGCTATTGGATTGGCACCAGTCAAAAGAGAAATTACATTATTGGCAATGGGCTTTTTTTGGTCATTGTAGCTGATAATTACGGCTGGATGCCCGAAGCATCCTCCCTGGTGAGCCTAGTCCGCTCCTGTCACCCTGCCATTGGCCCAAGCCCACAGTAGACTACAAGGTCCCAGCAAACAGCAGGAGTGGGAGAGGGCGCGGGGGTACGGTCACAAGGCACTGCCCTTGGCAACAAAGGGACTGTTACTGGCTCCTGCTGTCACCGTGGCAACTCTGCATCTGCAGGGGCCTGAGCACTGGGGCTGCCACGGAGAAGTTGGGCTGTGCGCAAGTGGGATAACGTGGCGTGCAAGGAACTTTCCACTCTGCAAAGGCAGCTGGTGCCCAGCAAAAGCGGCTTCTGCCCAGCAGTCCCAAGAGCTCGGCAGCGCCAGCAGGCCCCGCACAGAGGCAGTGGCATGCTCTGGGGCTCTAAATGCACCCGTGCTGCTGTCCACACAAGGGTCTACCCTACCTGCCCAGGACATCAGCACAGGCTGCATGGGGCTATGGGTAGCAGCCATGGAGGAGGGGACGACATGCGTGGGAATAAGGCAGTTGCCACTTCCCTCATGGAGGGCTGGAGCAGGCAGGAAGTGTGTGTGTTAAATGCAAAAGAAACAAACAAAAAGTTTATTTAGGTCAGTAGTTTAAAAAGCTTTGCACTATTACTAAATATCAGTTATGGGATCAGCATCAGATGATGTTCGGTTAATCATCGGCTATTGGTATCGGCCAAGAAAACCTTTATTGATGCATCCCTACCAGCAGTAATACAGAATTCTAGCTATTCTTGGACCGACTGTGTCTCTGTTCCCTACTGTAAAATCAAACAGCAGAAAACTTGCACAGTAGTTTCCTGACACAGTCAATAGATGTGGACAAGATTGCAGTAGCGTAACTGCAGCGAGAGACACCGACTGGGGTGGGAGAAGGGATGCAAAAGGCAGCTGCCACATTGTTAGCCTGTGAGATAAGGTCATATTGGACACTTTCTACAACAGTAAGGCAGCTGTCCCCGAATAGCTGGCTAACAGTTTTCCTAGCCAGTGTGCACAGAGTGAACTGCTGACCCTTTCCTAAAAGAAAGAGGTGCGCTGAACTGCTAACTGATAAAAGTGAGAGGAGGTTAGAAGAGACATCTGTGTGGCGTGAACTCTAAACCACTTGGAGGTTGTCAGCTCCTGAAGAAATAACTTTAATGCTGTGCTTTACAGAGCAGCAAGTTGCCACACCATACAGCAAACTGAGTACAAGCCGTCAGCAGCCGGTGTATGCTGTTGACCATAATCCATGCCCTTTGTGATGCTGTAATTAGGCTAGCAGGAGTGTTTGCTTTTCAAAGCAGGAACTGGGAGTAAGGAGGGAGATGGCAGAGGTGGTGACTTGGCAACGTCTGGCAAACTTCCACTGGTGTGAATGAAGCCAGAATTTCAGCCAAAGCATAACCTGGTCATACGCAAATACATGCCCGTGTAGGACCCCTCAAAGGTCTCGCCTTTCTCTCTCCCCCTTCCTATCATCTTCTTCTCTACGTTGAGTCAAGCTAGAAATGCCTTTTCTTGTGTATCCTAACCATAACTCTATGCAGCATGCCCCAAGCATAGCTGGGAGTAAGTTCTGCCTGATTCTAGGTACTGCAGCAGTGCTGCCAGGGAATGGAACAGGATCACAGGACACGGACACACACATACGAATTAGCTATCGTTCGGGGGGGGGAACCTTTCCCTCCACATTCTTCTGGAGAAGAATCTGAAATATTAGATGTTTCTGCTTACTGAAACAGTCTCTGTGGAGATGTGTAGCTAGACTATCTAAATCCCAATTGCAGTCTCTTGTAATGGAACTTCAAACTGAATCATGAATGTGCAGCAAAATTAAGGCTTGGGCTAAAGCAGGGGTGGGTATCCGGCCTGTGGGGCCCCTAAAAAATTAAGAAAATAGATATTAATCTGCCCTGGGCTGCCTGTCATGTGGCCCTCAATGGCTTGCCAAAACTCAGTAAATGGCCCTCTGCCCAAAATAACTGCCTGCCCCTGGGCTAAAGGCTGGGTAGCACTGGATACCCCAGGGCTAAGTACAGACATTTGGGAGGTTAAATTGGGTTCAAAACGGCCACCCGATTTAAACTAAATTTGTCCTGGTGCCAACCTTACACTTAAAGACCTGGTCTCAATGACCAGGAATCGGTGTAAACCTGTACAGCAGTTCCATGCACACAAAATGGTCTAAAAATTGCAGAACCCATTTTAAGATGAGTCCAGATCTACGTAGTATCAGACTCATTCAATTTACGTCAGACCCGTGCGTGGAACTTCTGTCCCCTTCCCCTGCACAGCCCCAGGGCTGGGGACTGCTCTCTTCTCTCCCTGCTTCCCCTGCACTGGTCAGTTTTTTGCCCTCTGACTCCTTGCTCCCCATCCCCAGCCAGCACTCTCAACCCTATCCCACAAGTCACTCCAGGCGCAGCTGCTTTTACCAGAGCTGAACGGGGTGGGGGGATAGGGATGTAGGTTTGCTGGAGGGCTGACCCCACCTCACAGGCAGGTCACGCCTGCCCTCTCCTATCCCTCACAAGTCGTGCCTGCTCCCCCACCCCATCCATGAGTTGTGCCTGCTCCCCCAGCCAACCTGCAGGTCACACTCCTCCTGCATCCCCCCAGTGGACCCCCCTATCCCCTCCAGCCTGCTGGACCCCAAGCCCCCAGTTAGCCCCTCCATCCTGACTTGCCTGATATCAGGCAGCCACTTTGAATCAATTTAACCTCCCCACATCTGTGTACTTAGCCCAAAAAGTATCTTGATTGGGTTCTCAGTTTCTAAGCATTATTGCTAAGCTATTGCTTTTCTCACAAATCAAGCTGCTTTGTTAAATAAGGTGGGCCTCTGTACCATGCTTCTTTTTGAGATGGGGGGCCTACTCAGCCTAAAGAGCTTCAGGAGTTAAATGTCCTTAGCAGCTGCCAGTTTCTCACCAGGAGTGTGTTTCAGATTTCCTCTTTCCTCAGTTCAAGAATTAGGATCAGCACTGTTGTAAGCTGTCAGGTCTGTAGCTGCTTTTTTACATAACATCCCATGTGCCAGGAGAAAACATAACAAATGTTATGTTCTTACATATTTCACTGCTGTATCTTGGACAGGTTTATGTAGCACTCTGCAAGTGTAAAGTACAGTTTGCAACCAAAGCGACTACATTCCAGGTTTTTTCTACTTCTCAATTTTAAAATCCTGCTATCCCCATCTACCTCTTCTCCTTGTACAGAATTCTCTCACCTCAAATTCAACAGTTTCTAACTACTGCTTTGCTTTGCACGTAGAAGAAATTGTCACCCACAGATGAGTTAACATTCAAACACACCTTGAATTTTTAAACTTGGTCACAGCAGCTGTGACCACTACAAAAAGTACATTATAGGACTCAGTGTTTTTATGACTTGGAGTTTGGTTACTGCATTTGTCAGCCATGTCTTCATCTTGCTTCCTTCAATGTCTCAACCAGGTGAGAGGAAGGGAAGAAAGAGCATTACAGAAATCATCTTGCATCCTCCACCTTGTTTTAAGGTATTCTGGTATCAGGATGAAGGTGGACTCAACAGAACAGAAATACTATATTTACTCAAATCTAAAGCACGACTTCCCCCCTGAATCAGCATGGCAGGGAAAGGCCCTTGTCTTAGATTCACCAACAAAATTGCAGGGGAAGGAGGGGGTTGAAGCATGTGGCTGCTGCAGCTCTGACTCTGACCTGAGCTCAGGTTGGGGCCAGTCAGACCCACAGCAGCTGCACGTCCCCCTCCCCACTCCACTTGCCCTTTGCAGCGGATGCCCCTCCCTCTGCATCTTTCCCCACTTTACTGTCGAGCACAGCTTGGCTCCAGCTCAGGCTGGATTTCCTCCCAGGCACAGAGCACATGGAAACTCTGTCCTCTGCCAAGCCAGTCAGAAGCGCCAACACTGCTGCATGGCCTGGCAAAAGCTGTGCTCCAGAGCAGGAACGGAGCCAAACAGCATCTGACAGTAAGGGTAGGGAGGGAAGAGGCAGAGATGGGAGAGTGGAGGGAGAAGATGCAGAGGGTGTGGGGAGCTGGGGGAAGGGGATACAGAAAAGCTACAGGGGAAAGAAGGGGGCTATGTGACACCCCCCCCCCCCCCCCCCCCTCTTT